GGGGGGGGGGGGGCAGATAAAAAAAATTCCTCTTTAAAAATGAACTCCAGGAATATTTTTTTTATCAACCATTGCTACCAAAGTCCTGCAAGGGTTTAAGTGCTCATTTATGTCTAGGTAAAAAAAAATAACAGAATTATATTCACCCAAAGCTCCAAGCCAGCCAGCTGTTACAGCGCTCCCTCCAGCCTGTCTCCTCCTACTCTGCAGCATTGCAATGTTCCTCAGCGCCCTCACGTCATTACACAGTATCGAACATGATGATTATCAGGACCTTAGACTGCTGCAGCGAAGGGGGAGAGAGGCTGGAAGGACCGGTTCCTAAGATCGGGTGAGTACAGTATAGCTTTTTTTTTTAACCTAGACAAAATGAGGAGGTAGCCCATGTGCAAGGGTTAATACATTTTTTCCCTGGAGTCCTTCTTTAATGACTGATAAAATATACTCGATTAAATTAACAGAAAGTCTGTTGGTTTTAGTCAGTCAGATCTGACCCATGGTCTTGCACTTTGAGACGGGAGCATCAAATTACAGTCCTGGTGCAGCACTACTATGCAGGAAGCAGAGTCCACGTATATAATAAGCAAATATGTCAGTTTACCTGTACACATTTATTTACAAACTGTACACAGAAACAAGATCTTTAAAAATATTAACACACCTTGATACGATAATTTACATGAAGCTGTTCACATTCACATACTGTATATATAGAAAAACAAACTTGTTTAAAGACTATAGTTTCCCTTTAAACTGGTCTTAAACAATTGCTATTTTCAGCTGTCTTTGACTCGGAGTAAGAGTTTACTCCCATTGGTTTCTATTTTGATATGCATTAATGAAATCTGCTCAAGACCTCAGCTGATAAAGGAGTTTAATATTTATTAGCAGTCCGAGAGTATGCCAAGCTTATTCTGGGTCTGTTCGCTAAGTCTTTCGGAATTCAAAAAACACTCGGTAAGGAATTACAGATCCTTCATAAATTCCAGTATTCACAAATCTTTGTCCTTCAATGTGGGATTTCCAACTGCTACTAAAACCCTTGGCAAGAAAGAAGGCAAAGGGTAAGTCGTCCAGCCAAGATGGAAGATCTTTGGTGCAGATATACTCTACATACAATCTGCTGAAGGGCAGTCGTAGAATAGACACAGGCTATCGGTTATATTTGACATTTCACCCTTTTAGACTTCTGATTGGACAAACGGTGATGTCCATCATTCTAGAAGTTATGTACTAGGAGTAACTGTCACATGACCCGTTTTAGGATATTACATTTTTGACTTACAGTACTGTAAGGCAAATAAACCAACTAGTTATTTAGTACTGATGTGCTCTTGTCTATCTCTGATGAGATATCACTCTAGCCTACTTGGCTTCATTCAATAGACCCATGTGATTGGCAATCATTGAACCATCGCCTTACTGGTCGTATTAATAGCACTTTATGCACTACCAGCTAACAGCAGAATCAGAGTGCCTCTTAAAAATGGCTTATTTTGTTTCAATGAGTTCACATTTTTGTTCTGTATCAGATTTTTTGGAGTTGCTGAATGTGTTTGTTCGCGTGCAACTTGGAGAGTCCGATATGGTGGCGACTTTCAGAGAGTTCTTGATGGAGCTGAATTCCCAAGCGTGTAAACTAATGACTTCCATCCCGCAGCAGCGGCGGGCAATCCTGAAAAGTTTTCTGAGGACTGTCTTCCGCAACAGGATGTACACCCACGGGTCAAGTATTTGATTCCACGTGGCCATTCGTAGGGCAAAAAGAATGATCGCGTTAGTCTCTTGGGATTGGGAACCATATCTCTTTAATCCAATGTTGGCCATGGTGAACTAAGAGAAAAAAACAAACATGAAAATGTAAAGTAAGTTTCAGTATCATTGCAGAATATAAAAAAGCACAATGTAAAGAATCCCTTTAGGAGCAGCATGACCTACAAACACACAGGTCAACTACATATTTAGGTGTGCACCAAAACTATGATTTGTCAAAGGTTTGTAAACTCGTTAAATCTGCATCTGCTTTTAATAGCCAGGTAGGTTTGAGAATATATCTGGTTTCATACCCTCCTATATGTATTGGCTACTTGACATAAACATGGTTTAATGGACTCAATAGTCATAGTTACATAGTATTTGAGGTTGAATAAAGACACAGGTCCATCAAGTTCAACCTTTGTGTGTCTGTGTGGGATTGTGCATGTGTATGTGCGTAAAGGAGTCCCGGTGTGATCTAGTTTTTAAGAGTACCTGTACCCCTGTATGTTACAGTCTCTGAGGAAGGTATCTAAATGCTTTTTGAATGATTCAATACTCTCTGATGATACCACTGCTTGTGAATGCCCTGATGAAGGGAGTATCTGTTCCCCAGAAATATGATGGTTTCCTTTCTACTGATTACTTAATATAACATCACATTGGACTCTTTGACAATTGGCGTAGTGCTCTTTTTTTTTTTTTTACATTTACCTTTTATTGTTATTTTACAAGTTCAACATGCTTACATCAATTCGATTTTACCATATTCCATAACAATTTGTATCTAAAATACTTCATACACACATTATTTACAATTCATCTGTCTTGAGGTAAGCCAAAAAAATTTAAAATAGGAAGGAACGGAGAGAAAGAGAAAAAAAAAGACAGGAAAAACAGGAATGGGTAAGAGAGGGAAGGAAAATGTAAAAAGAAAAAAAAAAATAAGAACATTGGAAAGGGTTCTTAATCTCTTCACTTCTATGATTTCATTATTTTCCAGTATTTTCAAGCATTCAACTAGTTTCATAGTCCTTATGTTAATTTATGTATTTGATTATCTCTAACAGGGGGGTAGAGGCGACATTGACATTTGACTATTGGCGTAGTGCTCTTACTGCTTCCTGTATGGTTGAACTTAGAAGTCAAAAAACACATCACGCAGGTGCATCCAAAAAACATAGACTTATACAGTACACCACTTTGGCGGTGCTAGTTAGGTGCTCCGCTGAATCATATAGGTGCTCAAGTACCAGCATTTCCCTCATAGACCTCCTATCCTATTTGGACAGGAAATCTTTTAGTAAATACCCCCTTTAAATTTCAATCATCAGTGCATGTTTGCCTATGTAAAAATGCATGCAATAACATGGCTGGAGGATGTCCAGCATCATCTAGCTCTTCCCATTTCAGTCTGGCAGTCCTTGGGATTTCCATTGGATTTCAGTTCTTTCAATCATGGAGGCCCAGCATCACATGTGGGTGTTACTATACAACCTGTTTAGGAACATCCACTCCTCCAGACTGCAGTCTGCCCATCAAGATATTTTAATATTTCCATAACTCTTTCCAAGAGCCAGCCCACTGCTTGCATCATTAAAATATTAATTTGCAAAAATCACCTCCAAATCCCTAAGCACTACAATTTTATTTGCATCATCATTGTATTTGCTTCCAGAACCAGGTCATCCACAAGACAACCCAGGCAGGAGCCTAGGGCCGGGTGGATGTCCATGGGACCAGCTATACCCGTCATGTTCCTGCAGTAAACCAGGGGGATAGTGCAATTGGTCAAAGCCGTACACCGGCCTGTTTTTTTTCCCAAGGAAGGATACACTTGTTGGCAGTTGGTGTCCGATGAAGCCATTCTATACAGACAATGCAAATGGGGCAGATTCTCTGTGCCTATTGCAATCTTTTGAATGGAGGAGGAAGGACCAAAGCTACTACTTTGCTTAGGGCGCCGTGCTGCCTTAATCCATCTTTGTTGGCTGCAATAGGCGACAACACACGCTTTCTACTTTGCCGCTGAGCACAAAAATGTCCTTCGAGCAATCAATGTCAAACACATACAGTAGCTCTAAATGCAAGAAATCCCATTCACTCCTATTTTTTAATTTATAACTAAGAAGAAGCACTCTCCTGAGACCAGCAGAACAGTGTTAATTATCCCCTGGCTGTCACCATTGTTACCAGTGGCCATAAATCTGGGTTATTCACTAAGCTGTGGCCAACGATGCTGTATATAAGTGTTCTATGACATAATTCATATCAGGGCATAAAACATATCGAGACTGTTCCATTAGAGAAATTAAAGTTTTGTAAAATGTTTGACTCAAAGATGATCGTAAAAGAAACACAATATCCATAAACCTGAATCATTTATGCGTGATCATCCTCTCCTTCCAGCGTTTAAAAGGCAACAAGTGAAAGAAAGCAGTGCGCTAATAATGTTACCCAGCAAGCATTGCAACTGGGAGAAAGTCAGAAAGTTTGCTAAATTTACCTTTAAGGGTAATTCCACTTTCCCAGGTGAATCTGGAAAAATTGAATTACCCCCTCCAATCTGGCCATCTCCCCCCTCGCTATACTTACCTTTGGGGAACGCTACTTCCTCTCTGCTGGTGCCAGTGTACTATCCATACTCTGTACACGACAACGCAGCCCTGTGCTCTGTATTTTGAATTTAGCTTGTAACTGGCGAGCATTCAGCTGATTGTGCTGACCAATGGGAAGCGCTTTTCCCCGTGCTAAGAAATGCTTCTCATTGGTCAGCACAGTCAGCTGCTGTACAGATAGTACACCGGCAATAGCGGAGGTGAAGGAGAATTTGGCCAAAGGTAAGTATAGTAGGGGGGGAGAAGGGGGCCAAATTGGAAGGGGTAATTCCATTTTCTCAAATCCGCCTGGGAAAGTGGAATTACCCTTTAAAGCGACTCACCTCTCCCATTGTATATGTTGCCGATCTCCACTATAGTGAAGATGAGCGGGTGCTTAAAGAATCTTCCAACTCCCAGAAGTGTTAAATTCCTGGTCCCCCGCTGAGTGTGTCCTGTAATGATGGAGGGATTGTTGGAAGGAACCACAGCACGCAGTGGAACGGAGGACCAGGAAATCGATAGAATTTATTGCAGGCTGTGGGAGAAGTGAGTATTTATTGTTTCCTTTGCATGGGGCCCTAATGTTTACAAATGCATTTTAGGGACACAGTCTACAACAAAATGCCCTGCCTAAGGGTCAACATACATGAAACAATCTGACAGTAAAATCAACTTTAGATTTAGAATATAAGGACCTACCTACTCTATCCAATCAATTTGAATCCAATCAGGCAGGCCCTTGCACTACATAGTTGTTAATAGATAATATTGTACAATCTATCATGTTGTAACATGGCGGTGAGCCTGAGAGCAGATAGAATGTGCCACCTATTATCTTTTTTTTAGGCAGAAGACCTTGTCGATTCACCCCCTTCATTGTTGGTTTCCCTTTGTTACTAAGGGCCTGACTTCCCTGACTCCTGAGCTAAGCCCCATCCACATGTGTTCACACTGTCCAATGAGAGTACCATGACTTCTCTGACTTCTAAACTAAGCCCCTCCCACCTGTTTCACTGTCCAATTAAAGTAACTTGATTTAGATACATTCAGAAAAGGGGGAGGTCAGTTCATGTTTCTTTATGAACATTTATTTGGGGATTATTTTGTGGCTATTTGGGTATACAAATAGTATGGGGAACTTGTATATTTTATATAAATGTTTTTTGTATTTTTGAGTACTTTATGTAAAACAACACTTTATTAAACTCAGGGATGAATTTTTGCCATTTAGAACCACTATTTGATTACATTTATTTCTTGTTACATTTTATACTGTTATAGAATCAGTTATATGTCATTTTAGATTCATTAATTCTCCAGCGGAAAATGTTATTTGTTACTCAGACTATTTGATTAATTTGTTATTTTGCGTGATGTCAACGCTTTTGAATTGAATTATCATTGGAATAACAATTTCTGGTTCAGAGCGAAATATCTCTATTCATGTTACAACTATAAATTGGTTATAGCGAGATTTTTATAATGACAACTCATCAGTTTATTTGTAGTTTTTGCACTAGAACTTAAAATTCTTAAGGCAATATATCTATCTATCTATCTATCTATCTATCTATCTATCTATCTATCTATCTATCTATCTATCTATCTATCTACACTGAGTGGCCAGTTTATTATGACCACCTGACGTTTGTAGGCAAATTAGCTATAATTTGGCGCTGAAGTTGCTAGAGGGCCAGACCATTATAAATAGGGAAGCAGGTTGTTTACCACGACAGTAGAAGTGATTTGTTTTCTGAAGATACAGGTAAACAACGCAATTTAACAGCCTTTGAACATGGGATGATTGTTAGCACGAGCCATGGAGCGAGTATCAGCAAAACAGCAGAATTCGTAAAATGTTCAAGAGGGGCTCATTGTTAAAGTGTTTAAAGACTGGACTGTCAGCTGAAAATCTAGGTCGGAACGTGCGAATTGTGGCCGTCAGCGACTAGTCAATGTTAGGGCAGAACGGAGAGTGGCAAGACTGGTACAAGACAACAGAAGGGCAACAGTGCAGTGTCAGATTCCTCGCATCACCTTTCAACATCTCGTGGAGTCACGAGGCAGCCCAACGAAGTCATCTCGTGGAGTCAACTCGTGGCCCAACGAAGTACTGATGTTTCTCTCTGTATGCTGTATACATACAAGCAATGTCCTCCTAAGCATGTAAAACTTAATTCAGCACTCCTCAAGATCTCAGTGCTTTATCTAAACACATAACCAACATCCCTAACCTATTGCACGCAATTGGGGCCCTGGGGTAGAGAAGGTTTCTGGAGGAGAGAGATGCCGCTAAAAGCTAAGTACCAGGCAGGGAGATGTGTAAGGGCTCTCCATCTCCCTGTCCAGCTTTTAGCAAACTGGGAAGATGATACCAATCATCTTTAACATTATGACCAATAATATTGAATAGGCCCCCCTTTTGCCACAAAAACAGCCCTGACTCGTCAAGGCATGGTCTCTGACGGTATGCTGTGG